GGCATGCCATCCTGGTTTCCTATACCACGTGCAAGGGCACTGGCTGGTTGGTTGGGAGGTGTGGCTGGATTTTCAAAAGGGAGTATGAGGTGGGATAAGTAACATTAAAGGCCTACAGAAAAAGCCATATGGAAACCTACCACTATAGAAGCTTCTTGAAGGATATACATACACATTTTTAAAAGACATGAAAAGGAATTATAGTGGGGGGGGGCACTTTCTCTTCCAGACACCATAGACTTAAACAAAAAAAACCCTTCAATGCCAAGAATGGACTCCCTCTCTAGAAACTGTTGACCTGGGTTACCATAGACCCTCAAACAATACTAGCCATTGCTCCTGTTTATAGTTACCCACTGGAACTTGATAGTGAAGACCTATTGCTGAAGACACTACATACATGAGCTATAGAACAAATAAGGAGAAATCGAGCTCGTGCTGACTTCATAGTCCCATCTGTACTGCTTAGCATCCATAGTGCTGGAAGGTGCTTCATATGTTACCTAAAGAAAAAAATAATCATCATCTTTACCCAACTGTAAATCCTATGAACTGCAATATCTGGCCTGGTAAGGCATGCCCACCAGTGCAATAGTGGCACAAATATTTGGGAGTACCCAACAATTCTCTAATGGAACTTAGGGTCCACTTCACAGTATGGAGCCCATACCTGTCACTGATATCAGGCTTAGGAATCTGAGGCTAGATCGGTCACAGGACATAAGGGAGAGTGTAATACCCATTTTCTACTAGTTACTGTATTAAACTGACTGCTAATGACTTGTTACACCCATAAATTAATGCACCTCTCAACTCTCATCAGAAAAGTTTCCTTATGCAGCAGATGGTGGTTAACAAAGAAACTCACAACTGGCCAACTTGCAGAGAAGAAGCTACAGAGTGCTTATCCCTGAATAGGACACCTATTTCAAACTTCTGCCTCCCAAAGCTCAAGGGTCATTGAAGAAGAGGGGACAGAAAGACTGTAAGACCAGAGGTGGAGGATGACCACAAGGAGACAAGTTTTCCAACAGCTGGTTAGTTACTCATACAAATTCACAGCATGCACAAGCCCATGGAAGCTCAAACCAGACAAAATCCTAGCATAGACATGGGAAATGGGTAAGAAACCCCAATCCAACTTAAGGAAATTTTGGCAACTGACGGCTGCTGGGAGGGGGAGAGACATCTCTTTCAAGGATGTGACTGTTGCTTAACTAGGCTCCAGTGGATGGAACCACACTGAAGGATATTTGGGGACACAAATTAGACTCTATAGGCATATATATATATATAAATGTGTATGCATGTATTGCCTGCATGTAGGTAAGTGCACCCGTGTTGTACAATGCCCACGGAGGTCAGAAGAGGCTGTCGGATATACCCTGGGACTGGAGTTATGCACAGTTGTTAGCTGCCATGTGGGTGCTAGGATTCGAACCTGGGTCTTCTGCAAAAACAAACAGTGTTCTTAACTGCTGAGCCATCTCTTCAGCCCCTATATTTTTATATTCTTAAGTTGGTGGGGAGCATAAGGGGAGGTGCAGATAGGGGAAGGGACCTAATACCATCAAATTATATTGTATGAAAATCAAAAAGTTTCAACAAATAAAAATTTTAAATTGGCTAATAAAATGAACATAATTCTAAGTACAAATGGCCAATACACATGAAGAAACATTCAGTAACTTTATTAGGAAAATGCAAATTAAACCTACATTTAGATTTCCTCTCACCCATCAGAATGATCAACAGCTACCACTCCTGGGCATACACCCAAAGGAGACCCAAGTCAACATAACACACAGATGATTATTGCAAATCTGCAGTCATTGGAGTACTATTCATAGTAGTCAAGTTCTGTGCTCATGGATAAAGAAAATGTGGTATATATACAGTGGAGGATTTTAGCCATAAAGAAAAATGAAATTATGTCATTTGCTGGAAAATGGATGCAACCTGAGATCATATTAAGTGAAGCAAGCTAGACTCAGGCATTATTTTTTTTCCAGTTGTGGATCCTAGACAGTATATGGATAACCACGTGTGTGTGTGTAAGCAGAAGAGATTCAGGGAAGGAAGGAGACAATTTAGGGAATGATAATAGGACATGAATATGGTCAAAGCACATGACATATTTGAAAGATGCTATCTTTGGGAGCTGGAGCAATGGCTCAGCAGTAGAGCACTGGCTGTTCTTGCAGAAGACCTGGGTTCAAATCCCCACATGGCAGCTAACAACTGTCCATAACTCGAGTTCCAGGGGATCCAACACTCTTCTGACCTCCACAGGCATTGCACAACATGGGTGCACTTACATACATGCAGGCAATACACTCATACACATTAAAAAAACTCTTTGTAAAACCCAGCACTATATACAATGAATATCTACCAATAACTTTTAAAAAAAAGTCAAGTAGTAGTTACCATTATCCTTTGCTAGGTACGGTGGCAATCGCGTTTGATCCCAGCACTTGGGAAACAGAGGCAGGTAGATTTCTGTTGATTTCAAGGCCAGCCTGGTCTACCTAATGAGTTTCAGGCCAGCCAGTGTTATGGAGAGATCTTGTATTAAAAAGACAGAGTACTTACCCTTTACTATGACACCAGTTGTCCATGTTTGTACTAGCATTTGGTTATTATCCAGACCTTTATTTGCCTGAATATGAAACTGCATTTTTCAGTTTATTTAGTGAACATTATCCCTTATTTACTACCTGTTTGTATTTGTCCATTTTTCTATTGAGTTGACAATTTTATTGATCTATAGAAATTGTCAGGCATGTATATTTATTTTTCCCAATTTATGACTTGTCTTTTCTTTTAAATATTGTGAGTGTAGGAACACATACGCTACACTGCACACATGGAGGTCAGAAGACAACTTTCAGAAGTCAGTTCTCGCCAGAGGGCAACTTTGAGAGTGTGTTCTCTCCTTTTACTGTGAGTTCTGCAAATCAAATACAGGTTTTCAGGCTTACTCCACAAGCACTTTTACCCACCAGTCTTGCTGAGCCTTTCCCCCCCGCTGCCCTTTAAGATTTACTTACTTCATGTGGATGCGTGATTTTACCTGCATGTATTTATGTTTTTCCTGCATGCATGTATGTGCACCATCTGGAAGTGGAGTTACAGTTGTGAGCCTCCCTGTGGGTGCTAGGAACCAAACCCTAGCCCTCTGGAAGAGCAGTGAGTGTTATCTCTCCAGCCTCTTTTCCAATTTTTAAAAAAAATATTTATTTTTATTTTATGTGTATTGAGTGTATTGCCTGCATGTAAGTGCCTGTGAAGGTCAGAAGAGGGCATCAGATCCGCTGGAACTGGAGTTATGCATGGTTGTTTAGCTGCCATGTGAGTGCTGGGAATCAAACCCAGGTCCTCTGGAACAACGGCCAGTGCTCTTAAATGCTGAGCAAACCATCTCTCCCAGTGTCTCTTTTCCCTTTTTGACAGGTTTTCAATCATAAGCCTTTTCCTTTTAAGTCTCTGCTTCATGTCTTATTTAAAAATTCTTCACCATCCTAAAGTAATGTATTTCTGTGAGTTTTTTTCATATTTTATTTAAAAACCTGAAATTGCTGGGTGTGGTGATGCACGCCTTTAATCCCAGCACTTGGAAGGCAGAGGCAGGTGGATCTCTGTGAGTTCATGGCCAGCCTCGTCTACATAGTGAGTTCCAGGACAGCTGGGGCTACAGGGAGACCCTGTCTCAAGACAAAAAAAAAAAATCCCTGAAATTGATTTTTTTAAACTAAGTGCTTATCAGTATTTATTGTCCTAATTATAAACTTGCAGTAAGCAACTTGCCTTCCTTTGAGCACAGCTTGCTTCTGTTGCCTACAGCGTCTTCTCTGGTAGTAACATTAAAGGAGAGGCTGGCAGATGAGTTAGCAATTAACAGAAGACTTCAGTTTGGTTTCCAGAATCCACATGGTGGCTAACAACCAACTGTAACAATCATCCAGATCCAGTGCCCTCTTCTGACCTCAGTGGGCACTACACGACACAGGTGCAGTTACATATAGGCAGGCAATACACATAAAAATAATTTTTTAAATATTATTTTTATTTTATGTGTATGCATGTATTGGCCACACATGGGTAAGTGCGCCCGTGTCATGCAATGCCTGTGGAGGACAGAAGCCATCAGAGCCCCTGGAACTGGAGTTACAGACAATTGTTAGCTGCCATGTGGGTGCTGGGATTCGAACCCAGGTCTTCTGCAAGAACAACCAGTGTTCTTAACTGCTGAGCCATCTCTCCAGTCCCATAAAATATATTTTTAAAAGATTTCATAAAAACAAAAAATAACATCAAGGGAACTGTGATCAGTTTACACCAGCTACTGTCCATACCTGCTTCATTCTAAAGTGTTCCATTTTTGACAAATTATACAGTCACCCTCATTCTAACTGCTTTCTAATAAGATGATTTACTGCTTGTAATATTGTTTGATGTACTGTACTCATTCCATTCTATTACAGTTAACGAACCTCTGTACTAGCTGAAGATTTGCATTTTGTACTGACTATAGTCATGTTTTGTCTGGAGAGACATTTACTCTTAGTTCAGTTTCTGCACAAGTCCACGTTCCATGGCTGCTGTACCTATGGATCAGTATTTGATATACTTTTAAAAATATTTACCATTTGTGTGTGTGTGTGTTATGTGTGTATGAGTGGATTGCCTACATGTATGCACTCATGTCACAGTGTCCACAAAGGTCAGAAGAGGGTGTCGGATCCCCTGGAACTGGAATTACCAACAGTTGTCAGCTGCCATATGGTGCTGGGACTCAAACCCGGGTCCTCTGCAAGAGCAACCAGTGCTCTTAACTGCTGAATCATCTCTCCAGTCCCTGATACACTTCTTGTCTTTTCTTATTTTAAAAACTTACACTTTATAACAAAATAATACTTTCCTAACTGTTGAAAGATAACTGTCTGTGAACTGCTTTCACTTCAAAAAATATAAAAGGAAGAAACTGTGTGGTAAAATTTTATTTTAAAATTCAAACATAATCTTTTACATTTACATACATACTCTATATAGATATACATATATATAAATTAAACAACTGAATACACAAGAAATGTCCATATTTTGGACAGGAAACCACTTAAGTGTTACTTCATGATTAATCACAAGGATTTTTACAATTCTGTGTCCATTAGAACATTACCGTCTTTGTCCTTAACTCTTACTCGACCAGATGTGTACTTTGTTTCTTGATGACCATTTGTATATACAGTTTTGACAGTGCCATCCGGATATTCTCGTCTTTTGAACTGGGCAGTATGGAGTTCTCTTTGGCCATTATTAAACTCTATGATTCTGTTGCCATCACTGTAAAATTTAAAACAGAATACAACTTCATAAAAAATACATAATTTCATTAAAAAAAATTAGGCATAGTGGTACCTGACTGTCAGATCAGTCCCCAGGAAGCTGAGGTAAGAGTTCAAGACCAGTGTGGTCTATACAAGCAAAATTCTACATCACTACCCTGTAAAATCTGAAATAGAAGTGGGTGGAAAAGTACTTGCCTAGTATGCACAAGGCCTGGTTCAATTCTCAGCATCTTAGGAGAAAAAAAGAAATACCCAACAGGAAAGCTAACCAAAAAGTAGTCAATTTATTATGGCAATTATTTCTTCTCTTAAATGCATTCCTTAGTCCTCTTCCCTAGAAAATTTCAAGTTACTGCACTATTTCTATTTCAGTTCAAGTTATCTAATTAGCCCTTACTTGTGACCATGAAAAGCTTATTTTTATTTACTTGTCTTTGAGAGTCTCACTATGTAGCCCCTGCTGGCTACGTAGACCAAGCTAGCCTCAAGAGATCTGCCTGCCTCTACCTCCCAAGTGCTGGGATTAAAGATGTGCCCCATCAAATTGGTCATTTTCTAAAATGTAGCTACCAGGGTTCCTTGGAGGAAAATGGGGATGGCTCTCCTTTTTACTACACTGAGCAGCACCTGAGTACTTGCTCTCCATTAGGTGAGGAAGAACTTTATTCCTGAGAAGGCAAAAGATCAGATTCAAGATCTGTGTTGAACAAACAAAAAGGCGGAGTATGAGAAAATTAATACCAAATTGGTTGCTGGGCATGCCTGTGAGGCATTCCAAGTGAGTTTCCAAACAAATTCTAAAGTGCCATTACCAGTAGAAGCCTGGAGCTAAAGACTGGGAGTCAGCACTTGTGAGCACAAATGGGCAGGTGTCACAAACATGGGTAAGACACCAAAGTGATTCCAAAAGTCGATACTTTCCCTTGTGGCCCTGCCCTAGCAGTGCCAGTATCCTGGAGAACTGTCAGTCAGATTACTGGGCTCAGACTCAGTCCAGCGATGCAGTGCACACACTTTGAGAACCACTGCTCTAAGTTCAAAATGCAAAATTAATCCAGACTCAACTAACCTGGAATTTGCCTGAGAAATGAATGAAAGACTAGCTGTGAGCTAGTATTTGTTGAAGCTGGTATATGAGTACACAGAATTTCATTTCTTCTACTGTATATTATGCAAAACTTCAAATGTAACAGTAAAAAAACCTTAAAACTTTTCTAATGTTTTTCAATGTATAAAAGATTTCCAAGTTTTTCCTTTAATTTTAAAACAATCTATTTACATGAGTCCCAAATTTCCACATTAGATTTCTACATTTTAGGAAAACAAGCATCATGACTATAAGAAGTTTATGGCCTGAATTGGTTTTAGCTTTCTTGGCCAATTTGTACCATTGACCTTGGATTAATTGATATGTTGGTTATTTTTAAGGGGAAGGTGGTTAGTTCACTGTCATGTTCTAGGATAAAAGAAGGGAAAACTGAAAAATGGACCCTGAAAGTGGCAGAGCTTCACCAGGGCTGTAACTAAAATGGTGGGGATAAGAAGATCTTTATCATCAGGTGTTGTATACTTATATAATCCCAGCAGCCAGCCTGAGCTATGAGAGAACCTGTGTCTCCCCCCGCCCACCCCCCAAAAGGAAGGTTTTTTTTGCCATGGATTGGATAGCCAGCAACCACATAAAACTAACTTTCAGAAATGTATCTGGGGCTATAGAGATGGCTCAGCAGTTAAGAGCACTGTCTGTACTTGCAGAGGATGCAGGTTTGGGTCCCACACCCACATGGTGTCCAACAACTGTTCATAACTCCAGTTCCAGGGGATTCAACACCCTCTTCTGACCTCCATGGGCACTGCATGACACAAGTGCACTTATATGCAGGCAACAGACTCATACACACAAGAAGAAGAAGAAATGTAATATTCCAAAAAGCAAAAGAAGAGCTTGTTGATTTTAAAGGTTTGGATCAGGTATGCCAGAAAAGCAAATTGTAACAAAATGGGCAGAACGGTTGAAAAATTCAAAATACAATCAAGGCAGGAAAGTCTAAACATGCTGTGGTGGTTTGGGTCAGCTGTACCCCTGACAGGGCCCTCTCTCTGTCTTTCAGTTTTCAGGTTTCGCCAAACTTATAAACAAATACCTACTGTCCTACTGTCCTAGTTTGTTTCTTTATTGCTGTGACAAAACACTCTGACCAATACCAGCTTGGGGAGGAAAGGGTTTATTCAGCTTACAGCTCCCAGGTCATAGTTCATCAGGGAGCCCAAGGTAGGAACTCAGGGCAAGAACCTGGAAGCAGGAGCTGGAGCACAGGCCATGGAGGAACGCTGCTTAATGGCTTGCTCCCCTGGCCTCTGCCCAGCCTGCTTTCTTATGCAACACAGGCCCACCTGCCCAGGGGTGGCACCACCCACAATGGGCTGGGCCCTCCTACATCACTCATCAAGAAGATGCCCCTCAGACATGGTCACAGGCCAGTCCAAAAGAGGCCAATTCCCCAATTGTGGCTCCCTCAACCCAGGTGTGTCAAGTTGACACTAAAGCTATCCAGCACACCTACCATTCCCCTCTTCTAAGTACTGTGCAGCCTGCCTCTAAATCCTTGTTATCTCACACTGGTTCTAAACTTTAAAATGCTGACACTGCCTCTCACCTTTTCTCAAAGTGTCTTTGTTCACTTATAAACTCACTGAAACTTTGAGTCACATGTTTTGCTTGTTTTATACTTGTATGTGTGTGGTGCACGCACCTGTGCATGAGGAGGCCAGAGGGGGACTTCAGGTGTCTTCCTCTATAGCATCCTACCTTATTCCCTTGAGACAGGGTCTCACTAAACTAGAAGCTTGCCACCTGGACTCGGGTGGCCGACTAGTGAGCTTCCAGAATCTGCCTGTCTCCATTCCCAGCTCCTGCCCCCAACACTGGGGTTACAAACACACACATCACACCTGGCTTTTTATGTGGGTGGTGGGGGTTCAAACTCAGGTCTTCATGCTTGCATAGCAAGTGCTCTTATACACTCAGCTATATCCCCAGCCCAGAATGTTTAAAAATTTTAAAAATCCCAAGTGGAAATAACAGTTGAACGTGAAAACTGGAAACTAGAAAGAGAACTTAAGAGTACCATACCGCTGCACTCGGACAATTGTGCCATCTGGGAAGATGCTTTCTTCTTGTCCATCAGCAAATAAGTTTTTAATGGTCTGGTCAGGAAATGTGATTTCTTTTCTTCCATCTGGGAAATGTTTTTCTGTTTCAAAAAGGATGCTATAAATATTTTTTAAAGGTAGGTTAGCATTTAACAGACGGAGGGCAAGTATGTTTGTACCTATTTGTCCACTTGAGAAACGTAAGACTTCGAGTCCTTCCGGGTACGTGGTATGAGTGGTCTGGGCAGCTGCATAGTAGTAGACCTGTAAAGACATGAGGTCAAGTGGCCCTTCTGAGATGATGAGCCTGGAAGAAGTGCCCCTGGGGAAACGTACCACACTCTCATCTGGCATAACCTGCTTCACGTCGCCATTAAAAAATGTGACAGTGATGCTCTTCCCATCTGCGCTCACTTCTTTCCGAGTTCCATTGGGAAAGAGTATAACCCGGTACCCATTCGTATAAACCTTTTCTACCTAAAAAGACACAAAATGTTGGTAGGTAGGATTTCACCTGGGATTACATGACAGACTCATCTGAAATGGAAAACCTCATTGACAACTTGGTGTCCTACAGGAGACCCCAGTCAAGTATGGTTACTTCCTTTTGACTGTTGTCTTCCTCAGTCGTCAGTGCCAGACTGAACTTTGGCCCTGTAATTTCAATTAAATGCACAAGATACTTGAAAAAACAGACTTTTCCATAAACCTAAAAGAACATCCCTGCTCATCTCCCTCTAACAGACCTTGTTTATGTCCCTTCTCTTTTCAATCCCTCTTGGCTGACACACTCACTTTTCCTAGTCAAAAACTTTGCTAAAGCCAAGAGTAAAATTATGCAGGCTAGCAACAGAGAAAGACCCTGCCTCCAGGACAGTATCACAAGACTGCAGAAAAGAAACGCTGGAGGCCTTCTGGCTGTGTAATGCAAGAATGAAGTTAAACGGACAAGTTTCTTCTTTTCTAACATCACTAAATGTTCAAGCCCCACAGGCCTGAAACTAAGCCACTATCCATAGTCTGCAGGATCATTTCTAGCCAAACCCCGCATGACAGCATTTCAGTCACCAATGGTTCACATATATGATGATACCCCTAACCTTATCCTTATACCTAGACGTCCTACAGCATTTTACTTGTGTTTGTGCTGATGGTGTAAACCTGTACTGATGGCTATAGAAAAGTATAGCTCACACAGTTATATAAAGTATGTAACACTTTATTATCAAACAGTTGTTACTGGTTTATTGTGTTTTCTATATGATTATTTTAGAGTACACTCCTAATATAAAAAAAGTTAACATGCACAATATGCTATGTTCCACCATGAGCCACTTCACCTAACCTTCTGTTACTTTGTTCATCTAGGCCCTAGGAACCATATAGGCCAGCCAGGCCCTAGCTCTACCATATACACAGTAATAAACACACACCCCATATATATCTACACATAGACATATACATGGCATTCCCCAGGTCTGAGGTAGGTGACCCCATCCAGGCTTGTGTAAGTATATTCTATGATGTTCACATGGCAGTCACTAACAATATAGTTCTCAGACCATATCCCTCTTGTTAAGCAACTCATGACTATTTTTCAGAATCTAAGCACATTTCTATTTTAATCCATGTTTGTTTTGTACTCCATTATTATGAAACAATATTTTAACCTTTCCATCAGGATGACTGATTTCTCCCTGAATTTCTTCCTCTTTTTCTTCTTTGTTTTTATATTCAAGATCTGGGGAATTTACTGGTTCAAGTGGTTCCCTGGGCAAGGCAACCTATAAGACAAGATATTTCCAGCAGTTAAAACTTACACCTACTAAAGTCAGAGCCTGCTATCACAGGACTCTATAACTAGTGTTTTGTATTATATATAAAACATTTACAATGTTATATAAACAGCCTCCTTTATACCTGGTTTAGAAACTAAAATCAATTTCAAATCTAATCTACATTTGAATATTTAACAATATAAAAAGATTTACTTGTCCTTTATCTGAGCTGCCCAAATCATGAGATGGTATAGACTTGGATCTTCGAGATGGATTCCCTGTTAGAATGTAATTGTCAGAGTTATTCTTAATGCTTAATTAAAATATTTAAGTTAGTATCCTGGTTAAACATTTCCTTTGGGGACCAACGAGATGGCTCAGTGGGTAAAAGTGCTTGCCACCAAGCCTGACAACCTCAGTTTGATCCCCAGAACTCACATAGTAGAAGAAGAGAACTGACTCCCGCAAATTGTCATCTTGATTTTTACATTCCCACATCAGCACACACATACACATTTGCACAAGATAAGGAAATAAAAACATTTCCTTTGTCATATTCCTTTTGTGAACTGATATTTTACTTAGAAATCCTGCTGGATTGGGATTTTTAGATTTATGTGTATGTGTGTCTACACATATGTATACTCATGTGCATGGATGCCTTTGGAGGCAGCAAGAGGCCATCAGATTTCCTAAAGCTAGAGTTATAGGCAGCTGTGAGCCACCTAATGTGGGTGTTGGGAACTGAACCTCTGTAAGAGCAGTTAGTGTGGGCTAGAAAAACGGTTCAGTGGTTAAGAGCACTGACTGGTCTTGCAGAGGACCCAGGTTCAATTCCCAGTATCCACATGGTGGCTAACAACTGTAACTCCAGTTCCAGGGAATCCAACACCTTCTGACCTCCTTGGGCATCACAGGACACAGGTGCACTTACATACATGCAGGCAATACACTCATACACATAAAATAAAAATAATAAAATACTAAAAAAAAAAAAAAAAAAAAAAAGAGCAGTTAGTACTCTTAACTGCTGAGTCATCTCCCCAGTCCCTGTTTTGGTTTTTGCTCCTCTGAGCACTGGACAGAGGAGCAAGTCAGGGTCTCTCAGCATGTAACTCAAATGGCCTTGAACCTGTGCTCCCCTGTCTGCCAAGTGCTGGAATTAATAGGCATATGACACCATACCTAGCTGGAAGCCTTAATAGTTTTCTTTATTAATTTCTAAGAGTCCTCCACTGTTCAAGTATTTACACAAGTATCTAGGTCTTCAGTGACCAAGAAAAACGAAGACAGTGTCTGCTCTCAAAGAATTTATAATCCCGAAGAAGGGCCAGGCTCAAATAACTGAAGAGGCCCAGGAGTATTCTGGAGGAAATCAAAAAGACTGAAGAAACGGGTATGGGATACAGACCAGCACCATGTATGGTATCAATAAGCCATACATTCCAAAGTAAGTACACATACTGCCACCTACACTAGGAGGTGAATTTTAAGAAACATTGCTAAGGCAAAGTGGTGCATGCCAACAACTTGAGAGGCCTCTGCAGGAGTAGGTGTTAACTACAACAAAGCAGAACCAGAATCTGAGCCCTACCAGTTCATTGGCTATCAAGTTTAAGTCTCTCTCAGTTATGAAATTATCTACTGCAGGACAGATCCCAGAGACATAAGCAGGAACACCATCCCTGTAACATGCACAGACACACATAAGAGGAGAAAAAAAGCCAAGTAACAAGTGGTACTGAAAGGACTAGAAGAGATTCCACAAGAGGTGTGGTTCATAACCACAAGGTAAGGGAAAACATAAAGTAACATTACCATGCAGAACAAACTTGAAGCCCAGCAACATATCTTTTTAAAGAGTAGCTATAAGCCAGCTTCAGCCTCATAGCAACTTCAAGGCTAGCCTGGGCTAGTGAGACACCATCTCAAAAAAAAAGGTATGACAAGCTACCGGCTGGGAGAAGATATTTGCAACACTTGTGGATTCTAATGAGTGGAGGGAGAACCCGTTCATAAATCAATCAGGGAATGGAAACCTCAAAAACAATGGGTTAAAAAAAAAAAAAAAAGGGAAGAAATCCAGGCCTGGGGAGATGGCTCAGTTTTACAGACTTGCCTAGTAAGCATAAAGCCCTGGGTTCAATTCCCAGTACTCAAAAGAAATATTCAAATAGCTAATACACAGAGAAAATAGTGTTCAATGTATCTAGTATTCAGAGAAATGCAAATTAAAACTACGATGATGCCAAGAGTTAAACATTTACCTGACCAGCAAAAACTAAGATTTGACAGCACCCAGTACTAAGCAAGGTGTAGAACGAAACATGTATTTTCCTAGCCATTTAGAATGTAAAACCAGGGCCAAGGAGATGGCTCTGAGGGTAAAGGCACTGCTGCCAAGCCTGATGACCTGCCCTGAGTTCAGTCTGGAGGTCCTAAGTGGTAGAAGAGGAAAACTAATTCCTGTGTTCCTCTGACCTCCACACATACAGCTCACACACAAACACACAGACCATATAAACTAATAAACTTAAGTGTACTATCATTTTGGGGAATGTTTTGGCATGATCTATAAGCATTAAAGAGAGTCTACCAATTCCCCAGTCATTGCATTCCTTGTTATGTGCCCTGAGAAATATGCATGTGTATTCCAGATACAGACAAGAATGTCCATGATGTTCAAATGCCAATTTATAAAAGTGAATTTGACAGTGGAAGACAAGTCCACTGTAGTGCATTCATAAGTGGAGCCTGCCCTGCAGAAAAAGCTAGAGAACACAAGCTGCAGATCCAAAGGACTGTAGGTCAACAACACAGTTAAATGAAAAACAAGAAATGCAAGCAGTATGACTCTAGTTATGAAGGTCAAAAGCCACTGTCCTATTTACTTTCTATTGCCGTGATAAAAACACTGACCAAAACCAACTTGGGGAGGAAAGGGTTTATCAGCACAGTTCATTGTGGAGGAAAGCCAAGGCAGGAACGGAACTCGGGACAAGAACTGAAGTACAGACCATGGAGAAATGCTGCTTACTGACTTGCTCCCCTGGCCTGTATTCAGCCTGTGTTCTTATACAACTCAGGACCACCTGCCCAGGGGTGGCACCGCCCACAGTGGGCTGGGTCCTCCCATAACACCCAAGAAAATGCCTCACAGACAGGGCCACAGGCCAATCCAATAGAAGAAATTCCCCAACTAAATTTCCCAGGTGTGTCAAGTTGACAACTGAAGCTATCCAGCACAACTACTGAAAGGTTCCTCCTCAGCTACACCTGCAGCAAAACCATGGGCCGCCATGGAGAGGAAGGATAGGCACTACCAACCTACCTAGACCAGGTGGTGGCAACCAGAATGCATATTTTCTACATATTTCTCTAAATTCATAAAAGTAATTTTTTAGGCCCAGATATGAAAGGCATTCATAAAAGTATATTCATGGCCTCAGGACTGAGAATTTCCCAACATCATGAAAAGCATAAAATAATAAGGTTAATAATAATAATAATAATAATATAATAATAATAATATAACAATAGACTGATAAGCTGGGCATGGTAGGCACGCCTTTAATCCCAGCACTCAGGAGACAGAGGCAGGCGGATCTCTGTGAGATCAAGGACAGCCAGGTCTACATAGCAAGTTCCAGGCGAGCTGCAGCTGGGACAACAGAAAGACCTTGTCTCAAAAAGACAAAAATAGGGGCTGGAGAGATAGTGCAGTGGTTAAGAACACTGTTCTTGCAGAAGACCCAGGTTCAAATCTCAGCACCCACATGGCCGCTAACAACTCTCAGTAACTCCAATTCTAGGGGATCCAACAGTCTCTTCTGCCCTCTGTGGGCACTGCACAACAAGGGTGCACTTACCTACATACAGACGATACACATATGCAAGCGATACACACATACACATAAAATATTTTAAAATAATAAATTAAAAAAATTTTTTTGGTCTTTTTTGAGACAGGGTCTTCCTGTAGCCCCAGCTGCCCTGGAACTCGCTACGTAGACCAGGCTGGCCTTGAACTCACAGAGATCCGCCTGCGTCTGCCTCCTGAGTGCTGAGATTGAAGGCGTGCACCACCACACCTGGCAATAAAATATTTTTTAAAAAGACAGAAATAAATAATAGATTGATAAATTCAGTATCAAAAGGTAAAATAGGCCTCTGGAGAGATGACTCAGTGGTTAAGAGAACTGGCTGCTTCTGCAAAGGACCTAGGTTCAGTTCCCAGCACCCACATGGTGGCTAAAAACCATCCATAACTCCAGTTCCAGGCCTCTGCAGGCATTGCATGACATGGATGCACTTAACATCTAGGCAGAACACTCATACACATAAAATAAAAATGAAAAAATTTTAAAAGGTAAAACAGTGACGCAGACCTATTATTCCAGCCCTTAGGGGGCTGAGACAGGAGGACAATGAGTTCAATACCAACCTAGGCTACACAACAAAACCATCTCAAAAAAAGGAACATAAAAAGACACAAAAACCCATGCTGGGTGTAGTGGCACACACCTTTAATCCCAGCACTTGGGAGGCAGAGGCAGGCGGATCTTTGTGAGTTTGAGGCCAGCCTGGTCTACATAGTGAGTTCCAGGACAGCTGGGGCTACAAGGAGACCCTGTTTCAAAAAGACAAAAAAAAAAAAAAAAAAAAAAAAAAAACACAAAAACCCAAGCCCAGATTGAGGAAACATTTTGAAGTACTTGTAACTAACAAAGTTTTGTTGTACAGAATTAAATTTTACAGTCACATATCCTGAATTTGAAATGGGCAAAAGATGTTAAGCAGGTAATAGAGAAAAGAGGAATCTCTTGGGGCTTCTGCAGAGGACTTAGTTTTGGTTCCCAGCACCCACATGGCAGCTGACAACCATCCAGAACTCCAGTTCTAGGGAATCTGATGCCCTCTTCTGGTTTCCTTAGGCATTGTACACGTGTGCACCTACATACATGCTGGCAAAACAATCATAAAAATAAAGTTAAAAAAAGGAATTTCAAACATTCATGACATGTAAGAAGATACTTTTTCAGAGACTGGGGATATGAATTAAAACCACAGTGAACCACTCTTTCACATTTGATGGGGCAAAATTTCATAGTCTGACCAGATCAAGTGTCATCAATTACTGAGGATTATAGTCTGTTAATAGTAAAAAGAAGAAGGGGGAAAAAAAAAACCCAAAAACCTGGCACAATCACTTTGTAAAGGGAAAAACTGACAAGGCTCAATGCCTGATGTGCATTCTAGAGAAACCACACTGTGATGGCTGCTCTGCCATCATCTGATCATCATCTTGCAAAACCAAGAAAGGCCAGAATGCCTATAACAGACTACTTAGCTGCAAATAAACTTTAAGGTCTACAGAACTTAAAATCAATCATCTGAGCCAGCACTCAGGAAGCAGAGGCAAGCGAACCTTTGTGAGTTCAAGGCCAGCCTGGTCTACATAGCAAGTTCCAGGCCTGTCTAAAAAAAAAAAAAAAAATCTGTAGATTTAAATGTTCATGTTGGGTAAGTCACATAGTCTAAGAGAAAAAGCCAGTTACAAAAGGAAACAAGAGTATAAAACAATAGTACATCAAAAAAAATTTTTTTTTTAATCTTTTTTAAGCAAGGTCTCCCTGTAGCCCCAGCTGTCCTGGAACTTACTATGTAGACCAGGCTGGTCTTGAACTCACAGAGATCTACCTGCCTCTGCCTCCCAAGTGCTAGGAGTACAGGCGTGCGCCACCACTCCTGGCTATAATATATCAATTTATGGACACAATGCAGTACAGGAATAAACAAACAGAATTCTGATAGAATTCGGAACCTGAGGGATAAGACTGAAATAGGGATCCTAAAACAACAGACCCTTAAAAGTTAAAATTTCCCTTAGGAACTGCATGATGGGGGAAGGAAAGGTTGGAGTTTGGGGTCCAGAGGAGGAATTTGCCTCTCAAAAAGAGATCTCACAGGGTTCTGACAGCTTATTCTATAGTTAAATGAATATATGCAAACTTCCTGGCTTTTTTTTCATCTTTCCTATAAAATTTAACTGTTACAGTTTGGCCAAACAGTAAATAAATTCATTTTCCTTTATCAATTTGTTTCCTAATTTTCTTTTGAAATACAGAGAAACTAAAGAACTGGTGTGGATGTAAGGGCACAGGGCTTCAATTCCATTTAGAATATGTAATTATTGAGTATAAATCCTCTCTCCTACTCCCATCCCTCCCCCTAAGACAGGGTCTTATTCTGTAGCCCAGGTTGGCCTAGAATTTGTGGTGATCCTCCTGCCTCAACCTCCCAAGTTGTGGAATTCCAGATGAGTCACCATACTGAGCTGAAATTTTCTATTCTTATGCAATATATAAAAAGATCATGTAGCCTCTTACCTTGTGTTGGAAAATAGTTTTTCTTATATTTTTCTACCTGGGCTCCTGAAGAAAGACTCTTTTGAAATCGAATAGATGAGTTCTATGATATGAGAATTTTGAATATAAAGTGTCAGTCTACATTTCACAACCTGAGTGAAACTCCTCAGCTAGTAAAGAGTAGCTGCCCATCTGCACTCCTCTGTCCCAACAGCCAGGTGAGTTATGGCTATCCAGGAATGAACCACACACTCCTTGCAACCTAACACCACTCTCCAAGTCAGGACACAACACAGGCCCTCGTGTCAGCCTCTTCCCATGAGCTACCCTCTTGCCCCTGCTGGACCTCATTCTCCAAGTTCTCAGCACAAGGATGAGGTGACCCTACTCTCCACCCCCACTCATCTCAAGCATTCCCTGCCAAGCCCTTCCCACCTCCCTGGGAGATTGTACTTCCAACATTTTCAGTTCAGTGTCTTGATCTACTTCCCATCCAATCTGTTTTCTGTCCTGCCTCACCTAGGACAACCCCAATGAGAAACCCCACAATTTGTCATTATCAATACTAAAAATACCTACAATACAGACAAGTGCAGCAATCACAATTCCAAAGGAACCTACTTAAAAAGATCCAGAAGATGGAGTATTCAACCAAATAATTTACTGGGTATCTTCAAAACATCAGTGTCATTTTGCAAGATGCTAGTGTTTAAGGCTGAGTTGCCATAATTTCTACAACTGTCTTCAAGTGGCACATACAAAAGCACAGCAAAATGTTCACAGTGGTCCAACAATGGGACAGTTCTGGTGTTCATCACACACCACTTCTACCTCCTCTCCATTTTCTGATGCATCCATGATCAAGAATTTGTGGAGGACAGGCAAATGCCTCTTCTGGGGTACTGTATTCTGTCTGTCTAGCTTATCCCTCTAAAACTCTCCCCCAGACAATGTCTTCAGCCTAGAGAATACAAGGCCCAAAAATAAGGCCCCAATAGTCCATTTGATCCATATTTTTGTCATGTCCTCAAAACCTGTGTCTTCGGCGCTCAGACACAACTCACCTCACGATCACTGTGTTCCTTATGCTGCCTACACATTGCAGGCTTTCTCAAGGCTCACTGCTCACAGCTCACACAGGAAAATCCCCAGTGCTCACAGGAACCAGTTAAGGCCTAATGAACCTGGTTCACAATATCCCATGACTTTATCCTCCAATGGCTCTCTCACTTACTGTATTCCAGCACATGGCCTCTGGTCCTCTGTAAGCTCTACTGACCATGTTTACAATCATTCTGTGGCTATTAGAAGATATGTTCCACGAGGGCAAGGAATTTTGTGTGTTTTGTCCACTGCAACACACCCTCAGGGCCCTGTACCTGCCACAGTCCACTTTCACACATAGAGAACCAGTCTCTTGATTAGCAAGGGGCCTGTTCATGTGATTCTGCAAAGCACTGCATACATGAACCTTTTTTATTCTATTTGGGGGAAAATATTTTTTGTTTCTTGTTTTTGTTTTTTGAGACAGGGTCCCCTGGCTGGCCTGGAACTCTGTTAACCAGGCTTGACCTTGATCTCATAGAGCACTTCCTGCCTCAGCCTCCCAAGCTCTGGGATTAAAGGTGTATGCCACCATACCTGACCCTTACATGACCTCTTTAACTGAAATTATCAGTTTATTTTGGCAATTCTTCCCAATTTTATAAGAATTACAGAAATGAATTTGAGAAGTATCTAAATATGGCAACATAATTTTTTAAATAGTAAAATTTTCATCATCCAAAATTCCCTCCATGAGCCATTTTTATTTTTATTTTATGTGTGTAAGTATATTGCCTGCATGTATGTAAGTACACCCGTGTCATGTAATGCCAACAGAGGTCAGAAGATCCCCTGGAATTGAAGTTATGGATGTTTATTAGCCATTTTGTGGGTGCAGGGACTTGCACCTGGGCCAAGCAAGAATAGCCAGTGCTCTTAACTGCTGAGCCATCTCTCCAACCCCCTGAACTATTTTGAGTTCACACTGGAACTTTGTTGCTTTTACCTTGTGCCAATTATTACCTCTATCCACTTCCTGAACATTTCAGTCTTGTAAAATGGAAACCCTGATCCATTAAATACTAGCTCCCCACCCCCTGGACCCACCACTCCACTTTCTGGCTTTATGAGTTTAAATATATAAACATTCACCATCATCCCAACTTGGCAAAAACAACTATCCTAAACCTACCATGGAGTCATCTTTTTTTGTTGCAGTCATGCTCTGAGAGGCCTTGGGGCTGCGCTCAATAGCTTCTGCTCTCTTCCAGGCATCTAGCCGGAACCTTTCCATTACTTTTATCTCTTCTCGGAGGTCTGTATTCTCTTTGACAAGCATGTCTATCTGGCTTCTGAGACGACCTTGTGTACTTGACCATTTTGTTTCCTTTCTTTTCAAATCTTCCTGTAAATCCATTATTTGCTGCTTCAAAGCCTCTCAAAAGAAAAGAATTACTAGACTTAAAACAGTACAGCGGCGTACGCCTTTGATCCCAGCACTCAGGAGGCAGAGGTAGGTGGATCTCTGTGAGTTCAAGGTCTCAGCCTGGTCTACATAGTGAGTTCCAGGCCAGCTGGGGCTATAAGGGAGACCCTGTCTCAAAAAGAAAAAGAAAGAAAGAAAGAAAAGACAGTATGATGGGAAAAAAAGGACATATCAATGAAGCAGAATAGCCAGACAGCAGGAAAGGATGCCTTGCCAGTAGATGACACTGGACTTTTCAGGGGTAGGGAGGAGGTCAGGTCAGTGCCTCCCCTTCTGTCAACAATCCAAAAGGCAGGAAAATGCAGAGGGAGGTGCAAATACAGGTCTAACCTAAACCACTAGCTAAAGAGGAGTAAAAAAATTACAGAAATTGATAAACAGAAGGAAGAATTTGGCATAAGCTGGAGAGATGCTCAGCAGTTAAGAGCACTGACTGCTCTTGCAGAGGACCCAGGTTTGATTCCCAGCACACGCATGGCGGCTACAAACCATCTTTAACTCCAGTTCCAGGGGAATCTGGCGCTCTTCTCACCTCCTCAGCATTGCACAACACGGGTGCACTCACATACATGCAGGCAATACACTCATACACATAAAATAAAAATAACAAATAAGATATTAATAAGGACTAGTACACTGTATCTTCAAAAGTCAGACTATAAAAGATACTCCTGCCGGGCGTAGTGGCGCACACCTTTTAATCCCAGCACTCAGGAGGCAGAGGCAGACGGATCTCTGTGAGTTCAAGGCCAGCCTGGTCTCCATAGTGAATCCAGGACAGCTGGGGCTACAGGGAGACCCTGTCTCAAAAAGATCAAAAAAAAATAAAAAATTGAAAAAAAAAAAAAGATATTCCTGATGCAGTGTCTCAGATTATTTGTTGAATGAATAATGAACTGATAACCCAGTTTCTTTCCCCCACCCTCTCCACCCGTTTTTAAAAACTTTATTTTATTTTATTTTTGGTCTTTTTGAGAGAGTCTCTCTGTAGCCCCAGCTGGCCTAGAACTCACTATGTAGACCAGACTGGCCTCAAACTCACAGAGATCTGCCTGCCTCTGCCTTCCAAGTGCTGGGATTAAAGGCATGCGCCACCATACCTGGCCTTTATTTTTATTTTTTATGTATATGAGTGTTTTGCCTGAATATATATAAGTGCACCTGTGTCATGTAATGCCCAAAGAGATCAGAAAAGGGCACTGGAACTAGAGTTAGTGATGGCTGTTAGCTGCTATGTGGGTGCTGGGTCCTCTGCAAAAGCAGCCAATGCTCTCAACCACTGAGCCATCTCTCCAGCCCCAACCCCTCTTTTTTTGAGATAGGACTTTACCCTGTAGTCTAGCCTGATCTCAAACTCATAATGCTCCTACCTCAGCTTTCTAAGAGCTGAAATTAAGTATGTAACACAACACTCAGCCCACAACTTCTTTATAAAACAGCAAATAATTCTGAGATTCTTACAAGATTATCATCTTTATTGATTTATGAATATTATGTAAAAAACTAGCACACCTGTATTTCTTCACGTTCCTTTTTATCTGGAAAAGTTCTTGCAGCTGCTGTATACTTTTCAAAAACTTTCCGCTCTTTCTGTAGTTTCTTCATTTCCTCCTTTTTATATTCTTCTATTCGAGCCAGTTCTTTTGCTTTTTGTTGCTCAAAGTCAGCAATTTCTTTCCTACAATGATTAATAATGTTGTGATCTATGGGACAATCTCAGTATAATGATCCATGTACTCCAAATGTGATGGTATATGCTTTTAGTCCTAGCATGTGGGGGGCCAAAGAAGACAGAAGACCCCTTGAGTACTGGATTCAAGGCTGGCCTGAATAACAGAGTGAGACCTCCATTCCAAAAGTAAACCGACAAACAACAAAGCCCTGGGTTCAATCTCTAGTAAAGAAGTGCCATCCTCAAAATTACTGAGCTAAGTGAATCCATCTACAATCCACTGGCCTCAGTATTTGACTCATCCAGTAAGTATCTACTGGGTGCCCACCGTGAATCACACACACTGCTAGGCAGTGAGACAAGTCAGCCTTCTATATTGTAATGGGAAAAGCAGACAATAAGGCCATCAAGATGGCTTAGTGGATGAAAGTGTCTGCTATGAAAACCTGATGACCTGAGTTAGATCCCATAGTGGAAGAGAACAGACTCCCGAAAACTGTCCTCTGACCACACATGCACTGTGACATGCATGAACCTGTTCACACTCTCTCACTTGTTCTCTCTAATAATAATAAATTTCATAGACAGTAAGAGTTTTAGATAAATCTATGAAATACTAGAAGCCAGGGGAAAGGGTGGGAAATTATGAGGATAAGAAGCTGAAATCAGTGGTTAAGAGAACTGGCTGCTTTGCAGAGGACTTGGATTTGGTTCCCAGCACCCATATGGTGGCTCACAACTATTTTTAAATCCAGTTTCTAGGGATCCAACACCCTCTTCTGGCCTCCACAGACATTGCACACACGTGGTACACTTACATACATGCAGGCAAACACTGATACACATAAAATTTTTTAAAAATCCCTAAAAAGACAGCTAAACATAAGCTGAACATGGTGGCACATGTCTTTAATCAAAGCATGTCACAGGCAGATCTCTGAGTTTAAGGCCTGCCTGGTCTACATAATGAGTTCCAGGCCAACCAAGGAAAGTGGCAAAACTAACTCTATTTTGTTCTAGCTGATTTTTGCTTTACCCTGTTTTTGTCCAGCCATTCCCACTGTAGCCAGCCAGGCAGAACCATCTCATGCAGGCAGTTTCAGAGAGTACACTGTTTCTACAATAGCCGAAACTTACAAGCAGCCATGTAGCATGTCCCCCCTCCCAGCTGTACCTGCATCTCCATGGAACCCATTTTTTCTACAATTTTGAGAAATTTGTTTTTTCCTAACCAAAACGTTGTTAAGTGAAAACCTCTGTTAACTGACCTGCCCCTGGTCTGGTGTAACTATGGTAATCTGATGTTATGGTTATTGGTTTTGCCCCTGGTATGATGTAATTGAGGTTTTAAGCTTTATAAACCCTGCCCTGCTTCTCCCCCTCTCTGATTGCCAGCTAATACAGGTCTCCTGATTTACCCAAAACTCTGTGGCATTTCTCACTCAGTTACTTACAGTTACCACTGAAATTCATGGCTATAAACAACTTATTAAGTTTCAATCTATTACCTCACCACTAAGACAATTTCCCTTTTAATACATTTGGCTAAACTGAATAATGTGCTTAATTAAAAAGGTTTATTTTAGCTAGGTGTGGTGATCTCATCATTTGGAAGGCAGAAGCAGGTAAATCTCTAAAGTCAAGGCTAACCTGATCTACATAGAGTTCAAAGTAAGCCAGAGCTATATAGTGAGATTCTGTCTCAAAGTGTTAGTATCAAGTAGTCATGCTGGCTTGAACAAACTATGTAGCTGAGAATAACCCTGAATTTCTGATATTCCTGCTTCATGCCACAACTCCCAACCTTATGTAGGCAGGGGGTCAAACCCAGGGCTTCATGCATACAAGGCAAGCACTCTCCGAACTGAGCTACATCACCTTAATAAAAAAATGATATAACAGAAATTCCACTTCCTTTTCATTTATATTTGTTCAAAGTGATCAAAACTTTTTCACGTACTGTGAATGAAGTTTTAAAGATATGAAGAAATTATTGTATTTCCTCAAATCATTGATGTGAAACTTACCTCAGTTTTTCTAAGGCACTTTCTCGTTCAATTCGAAGTTTAGCTAAAGATGTGTTCTCAGCTTTAAATTTTTCTATTTCTGTTTCCAATTCAATAACCTTCCCTCTCAAAACCTGAGATCGAGCATTGTCACCTACAAAACAGACCATAAATTATTAATATTAAAAAAGGCTTACAGGGGCTGGAGAGATGGCTCAGTGGTTAAGAACACTAGATGTTCTTGCAGAAGACCTGGGTTCGAATCCCAGCACCCACAAGGCAGCGAACAACTGTCTGTAACTCCAGTTCCAGGGGATCTGACGGCCTCGTCTGATCTTCGCAGGCATTGCGCAACACAGGTGCACTTACCTACACGCAGGCAATACACACATACACATAAAATAATAATAATAAATAAAATATAAAAAAGGCTTAGAGCCAGGTGTGGTAGCACATGCCTTTAATCCCAGCACTCAGGAGGCAGAAGCGCATGGATCTCTGAGAGTTCAAGGCCAGCCTGGTCTACATAGTTCCAAGCCAGCTGGGGCTACAGGGAGACCTTGTCTCAAAAAGACAATCCCCTGCCCCGCCCCCAAAAAGCTTACAACAGAAGAAGCACTAGCTAGATATTAATTCCAAAATCAAGATTATGATAAACTCCAGTGCCATACTGCATTAAAAACAAAACCAGATGGGCATGCTGATGCACACCTTTGGGAAGCACAGACAGGTAGATCTCTGTGAGTTCCAGGCCAGCCTAGACTATAGAGTGAGTTCCAGGCCAGCCTAGACTATAGAGTGAGTTCCAGGCCAGGCAGGAATAGATAGTAGAGAAATGGCTTGAGTCTCACACAAGAATCTGAAACTACAAAAAAATTCATATGTCAAAATCACAGAGAAAAATAATAACATGAAAATGCAAGAAAACATATCCCGACCAAATACCAATAGTCCTCTAGAGTACAATGAAAACCCCCTAGAGACAATGCAGGATATGGAACTGAAAAGAAATATTATAAACATGATAAAAGAATTCAGTGAATACCAGGCGTGGTGGCCTTTAATCCCAGCACTCAGGAGGAAGAGGCAGGTGGATCTCTGTGAGTTCAAGGCCAGCCCTGGTCTACATAATGAGTTCCAGGACAGCTGGGGGTAAAGGGAGACCCTTTATCAAAAAAACCAAAAAAAAAAAAAAAAAAAAAGCAAAACAAAACAGAATTCAGTGAATGTAAAGAACACACAAAAAGAAATCAAAGAACTGAAGGAAGATAGGGATACACTTCTGAATGAATTCAGAAAAGAACCAGATATACTGAAGACTACCCAGGCTGAAATGAAGAAGAAAGTCAAACACTCAGTAAGCCAATTAGAAAGGACAGGAGAAAGCCTCACCAATAGGATGAATGAAATGGAAAACAAAGTATCAAGACTAGAAGATAAAGTGGACAAACTAGACCACTCAAGCAAAGACGATAAAAAATTTAAGAAATCACAAGAATGGAATAGGCAGGAATTGAGTGATACCATAAAAAGACCAAACTTAAGAATCTTAGGCATACAGGAAGGGGAAGAATCCCAAGATAATGGTATAGACCAGATCTTCAACAGAATCATGGAAGAAAATTTCCTAAAATTAAGAAAGACATGCCCATACAAATACAAGCAGCATATAGAACACCAAACAGACAGGACCAGAAAAGTATCTCTCCAGAGAATATCATAGTAAAAACACTAAATGTACAAAACAAAGAGACAACATTGAAAGCTGCAAAAGAGAAACAACAAGTCACATAAAAAGGAAAACCCATTAGGATTACAGCTGACTTTTCAGTGCAAACTATGAAAGCCAGAAGAGCCTGAACCAAAGTATTCCCAGTGTTAAATGACCACAGATGCCAACCCAGATTACTATACCCAGCCAAAATGTCTATTATAGTCGAAGGGGAAAGAAAAATCTTCTATGACATAAATAGGCTCAAGGAATTCATGTAAACAAAACCAGCCCTTCAGAGAGTTCTGGAAGCAATACAAAGACCTGAAGAAAGGAATGACTATGCCCAAGGGGTTGCAGACAGAAATTGAATGAAGGTATAACTGTGCAAACGTATAGCTATATCAAGAATGTAAACAGAAATAAAAATGACAGGATTCAATACTCATCTTTCATTAAGAACTTTAAATATTAACGGACTGAACTCCCCAGTCAAGAGGTGAATGTATTAAGCAACAAAACCCATCTTTTTGTTGTTTGCAAGAAACTCATCTCACTTTCAAGGACAGACACTATCTCAAAGTGAAAGGATGGAAAAAAATATACCAAGCAAATGGTACTAAGAAAAAAGCAGGCGTAGCAATTCCAATATCTGACAAAACAGATTTAAACTAAAATTAATCAGAAGAGATAAAGAAGGCCACTTCATTCTGATCAAAGGAACACTAAATCAAGAAGATATTACAATCATGAACATAATTCACCAAACTCTGGTGTACCCAACTTCATAAAAACAATATCACAGGACTTTTAAGACCCAGATTAATCCCAACTCATTAATAGTAGGGGACTTCAATACCCCACTGTCTCTATTAGATAGGTCAACAGGGCAGAGAGTTAACAGAGAGATATCTGAATTAAACAATACCATGTATCAAATGGACTTAACAGACATCTACTGAGTATTACACCCAAGCATACTTTCTACTCAGCACCCCATGAACCTTCTCCAAAATCGACCATATACCGGGGCACAAAACAAACCTCAACAAATACAAAAAGATTGAAATAATTCCATGCATTCTATCAGACCACAATGCAATAAAGCTTACAATCAACAGCAAAAGAAACCCTAATCACCACATGAACACATGGAGATTAAACAACACACTCCTGAATGATGAATGGGTCAAAAGAGAAATTAAGAAAGAAATAAAAGTATTCCTGGAACTAAAAGGACAATACAATACAACAAAACCTCTGGGACATGCTGAAAGCTGTCCTAAGATGGAAGTTTATAGCTCTAAGTGCCTACATCAAAAAAT